GCCCGGAAAGAATTTCAGACATTGTGCTAGACTTTGTGCTACAGGTGGGGACACTGAGGCCCAGAGAGGCGTCCCGCAGACGGATGGGGCAGGATGGAAAGCCAGGTTTCTGGCCTGACCTCCACGGAGCCTTGGGTAACACGGACGCTTTGGTTCCAAACCACCCCCAGCATCTGTGGCTGACTCAACTCCCATCTCACACCTACCTGTGAGGCCGCCCTACGGGGGAGTTGGCCATGGCCAGTGGCTGTATCCCCATCTGTCTTGCTGGCCAGGAAATGGGGAGGGCACTGTGTCCCAGGCTGGGGCCACCTGGGAGTGCGTGGCCCTGGCCACTTTGAGGGACAGCCTCCCAGGTCATCAAAAACTGTAACATTGACAGTAAGGGCCCAAAACCTCTGCTCTCCTGGCCCACACCTCCCCGGGGCCCTCAAGAGAAGGCAGAAGTCACTGAGGGCAGGATCCCTGGCCACTCCGTCCTCCACACCCTTGGCGGTGCCTACTCCTCGAGTCCCCGGCCCCATCTCATGGGAGCTGGACCTACTGGCCACCCAGCAACTTCAAGCCCCTGAGGGCTGCAGTCGTCCTCCAGACACACACAGACCTGGCCACCAGGCCCACGCTGGCCACTCCAGGCACATGCAGACCTGGCCACCAGGCCCACAGTGGTCACTCCAGACACACGCAGACCTGGCCACCAGGCCCACACTGGTCACTCCAGACACACGCAGACCTGGCCACCAGGCCCACACTGGTCACTCCAGACACATGCAGACCTGGCCACCAGGCCCACACTGGCCACTCCAGGCACACGCAGACCTGGCCGCCAGGCCCACACTGGTCACTCCAGACACAAGCAAACCTGGCCGCCAGGCCCATAGTGGCCACTCCAGAGAGCTGCTGGGAGGACGAGGGAGATGGATGAGAAGCCAGTGGGGCTGTGCTCAGTGCTGGGCATCAGGGTCTCTAGGTGAAGATGGTCAGCCCCAGCTCACCCCTAGCCTGTCCCCGACGGACCCCGTGGACTCTAAGAACATGAGCATGGGAGTGACCCCGCAGAACCAGCCACTCAGCCCAGGAGACAGTAAATCTGTGTGCACTAAGGTCATCCGTCTTCCTAAGGAGTGTGGCCCTGGGGCACTGGCTGTCGGCAGGGACGAGCTCCTGGCTGGGGCTGTGGGGGGATGGAAGCCTGCCTTCAGCACCGGGGCATCTGCTGCCCTGGTCCTGCCACGGGGGCCAGGAGGTGTCGGGATGGGGCCCACAGAGACGGGGAGAATGCTGGTAGGGAGCGGGTGGAGCAGGGGCAGCTGATATGGGCTCCCAGCCAGCTCGTCCACAGGCCCTGGGGTCAGTCCCAGGGCAGAGCTCCCCAACACGGGCCATACTTTGTTCTCGGCCGAGAGGCCAAGACGCTCGACACTCGGGGCCTTGCCCCACCCTGTCTGTTTCCTGCCAACACTCAGTTCTCTGTGGTCATCTTTGTGGGACTCTCGGTTCCATGAGAACCCCTTGGCCTGTGGTCACCACTCGCCCTGCCCAGGACCTGTCTCCAGTACAGGCTGGAATGTGGCTGCAGGTCCCTTCCTGGGCCCCAACCTCACTCGGGGTCTGAGTCCATCGAGGGCAGGAGCCACATCTTCCATCCTGGAACCCCAGTCCAGCACCCAGCGGGCTCCTAGACAGCATGTACGGAGTTCACTCCAGAGCCCCTCAAGCACTGGTGAGAGAGAGGGTGAGAAGCACAGCACTGGGAACGGATCCTTGTTTAGTAAAACACTAATGCTTGACTGAGGGTCCCAGGTGGTCCAACGTGAGCTGACGGTGCTGGGAGGTACGCCACGGATAACCGCCATGGCCGGCGCACGGCGTGTTTCCCGGCAGCTGAGCCTCCTTATGCGTGCAGCACCTCCCCACCGCCTGTTTCCTGTGTCCCCAGGATCGCGCACGCCAGCTGATGCTCATGTCCCGCCTCCCCTGTGTTTCCCCTCCCACCCATCCCACAGGCAGGGACCCCGGCCTAGAAAGCATTGTGCTTCTCTCCCAATCCACCTGAGACCTAGGGTAGCACTGGGCAAGCGAGTCACGCAGAATACCGACGGACAGAGAACAACACCCCACAGAGTGACTCAGAAGGCCGGGACCATGAACCGCAGACACCTCCAACCCGGTGGGTCCAGCTCTACCCTCTCTCAGACCAATAGTCAGGGTCTATTGGGAGGATGGTGTTCAAGGGAAGTTCCTCCCGGGGCCACTTCCAAAGCAAAGAGGTGGGCCCAGTGTGAAATCCATGCCCAGGGCACTGGAGACGCAGCTGAGGGTTCCAAGCGGTTCTCAGGGAACGTTCAAAGGAACAGGAAAACAGTCACGACATCCGGGAGAATAAAGCAGTGTGTACAGACTGCAGGGGATGCCCTGATTACGTTTTAAAATCCACAGACGGTCACAGATGACGGGAAGAAGATAGCAGGCAACGCACTCAACTGTCAACCCTGATTTCTCTGGGGATGGGATTAGAGGGGTTTTTTGCTAACTCGCTGGCAGGCTATGGATGTCCCCACCAGTCCTCTGAGATGCTGCTGACCACCATGTCCCAGCCAGATGAGCTTCGTGCAGCAGCTCACCAGACCTGCCCACAGACCCAGCATCCTCGCTCTGAGGCGGCAAGGATCGTGCCCAAAGTGGGCTTGCTAGAAGTGAGCTCTGCACTCAGCCCCTGTGCTGAATCCTATGTGCAGTGACGGTTGGAAACTGAGCAATGAGCAGTATCTTATGCAGCCCTGACGTGTTTGTATAACACCAGTTATTTTACACCAATGAGCAGGAGACTGTGGGGAGAAGCGGGCCCTGTGACCATCCCTGCACCCCCTACACCCCCAACGCTGTGTTTGGCCTGGCCTGTTCCTCTGGGGGACGTCATCCTGGAAGCAGAGCCTTTGTGTCAGCTCAGCGAGCACCTGGCCTGGCCTGGCTCCTGGGCCACACAGGTGGAGGCGGACCCAGGCAGCCGCGGTCCAGGCTTGGGGAGGCCGCCAGGGCCAGGAAAGGACCAGCCCCAGGGGAGGGGAGGCAGCTGGAGCCGCCTGTCTGAGAACAAGTCCCAGCAGCTTGCTGGAATGGCCGCGCGGGTGGGGGCGAGGCTGCTGGGCCTCACATGGGAGGGGATGTGTTCCCACCTGGCTGTCTCCCCCTCCTGTAGCCAAACCATACAGAGGTAGCACCTATGCCAAGCCTCAGCAAGGTGGGAGAACCCACGGCTCCCCTCCCCTTCTGCAAACCAGAGCCCAGCTGCAGACAAAGCTGGATGCTGTGTGGACCCCGTGGCCGGCCTGCTGGAGCTGGAGTCGGGCCGTCTGAAGGCCATGTGGCCTGGATCCAGCTGTGCTGCTCTCTCTGAGCGCCCACCCTCTCTGGTCCCAGCAGGCAGCTTTGCACCAGAGGCAGGAAGCAAGCTAGACACAGCCAGCCCTGCTTCCTGCCCCTGTGCAGCCTCTGGAGAGGGGAGGTGAGAGCAGAGCCGCCGGGATCTCCCTGGTCTCTGGCTGCCTCCTCCCTGACAGTCATCGCCACGTTGTTCATCTGCTAACGGAACCCAGCTCTGTCTCCCAGGACCTCGCTCCTCCCCAACCTTCCTTAGCATTTTCCCCACCCAAACCCCAGACGAACATACAGGAAGGACAGACAGGGAGCTGCCTCCAAATGCGGCCGTGCACCCGCCCACCCCCTCCTGAAGGCCACATCCGGGTCACTGACACATATCTGGGGATTCTGGGTTTCTTTAGCCGGGTGGCTCTGAGCAGCCTCTCTGAGCTCCATCTGGGTAACATGCGTCACACAGGGCAACATCTCCTGCAGCAGGAGTGCTGGAGGGCTCTGGAGGCCCGGTCCCCGCTGCCACTGCATGGCTTACACCCCTGCAAACAAGCTGGGTGGTCACGCACCAAGGTTCTCAACGGGTGATCCTGCCCCCAGCAGACCTTTGCCCATGTCTGAACACACTTGTGGCTGTCACAACAGTGGGCGCCACTGGGACCTAGCGGGCGGCAGCCTGGGAGGCTGCCACACACCTGTGTCACACAGGAGGGCCCCCAGAGCAGAGAGGGTCTGTACCACCATGTCAGTCGTGCTGAGGTTGGGAGACCCTGTAACAGAGCCTTCCGCGCTGCGGCGGGGATTCCATGGGGAAGTGTGCTGTGATGCTCGCGGAACAGTGTCTGGCACACAGGAAGCCCTCGGCAAACAGGGGCTGCTATGTTTACCATCCTCACCTCAGCCTCGAGAAGTCAAAGCAGATGCCAAGATGCCTGTTTTCCAACAAGGAAACAAAGCCCAGAAGAGGGGCATGCTGGCCCAGAACTAGAACCTGGGCCCCGATCCTGGTCTCTGAGGGAGCCTCCTGCCTGGGGCCGGGTCGCATGGAGTCCTGGCACCGGACACCACCACCGCCATCTCAGAATGGGTGGGCCCTGGCCCTCAGGATAGAGACTTTTTAGAGCTGGCAGGCGATGTGTGGGGTGCTCTTTGGGGACTGGCTGTGCTCCCACCCCAGCAGCCCCTCCTCCCATGCCAACAATGGCAGCTGGGAGGCTGCCACGTGGAGACCTCTGGAGCTGGCTACTGCTCAGCAGAGCTTGGTCCTCCCGTTTCCAGGGGGTCACTCGGCCTCAGGAGGGCTACCCTGAGCCTTTCAGGAGGGGATACAATAGGTGGTGATGCGGGCGGTGAGGCTGAGGTCACCTTCCCTGGGACTGAGTCCCTGGCACGAACCAGGCACTGGGGATGGATGGAAGACGCTGTGACTTTGATCCCCATGACCTCTCCAAGCTGCCAACAGCCTGTGGGAGGGCCGCCTGGTCCCACTGCCCCCCTTCACAGTTGGGGACTGAGGCCAGGGAGGTAAAGGAACCTGCCCAAGAGTCCCCAGCCCCCAGATCCCCCAGGATGCCCCTCACACCATGCTGCCACCCACGACCCAGAGGATGTGGCCAGCTGGAACCTACCAGGTGCCCGGCGGCTCTTAGCAGCTTGTGGGTGGAGAATGGGAAGGCCTCGTTGCTCAGGTCTGCATCCAGCACCTCCTGCAGAATGGCCCGGCTGCAGGCAAAAGCAAAGTCGCTCGGTCAGCAAGTGCTCACGGGTGGGGCCTGGGCAGGAAAGGCCCCGGGGACCTGCCATGAGTGGGACAAGTCTCTGTCCTCATGAGACAGACGACAATAAACATGGATTAATAAAAATACACCAAGACAGATGTATGTTCCAAATATACACAAGACGGCCACCTTCCAGCAGAGTAACGCTGGGGCTAGCAGGACCCCTGGGGACGCAGACTTGGAGACAGCTCTGATGGGACTCGTGATTCTTAGATGGGGAACTGAGGCCAGAATGGTTATCTAACCACGGAATGCCCCTGAAGCCCACAGGCCAGGAGGAACAGAGCATCTGGGCCAGGTCCACAGTCCACATCCCCAGGCCCCTCTAGGTTTCCAACTCGTCAGAGGCCGGAGGGGCCTCAGCTGCTGCTTCGGTAGCCACCGCCCAAGAGAGGAGCTGGCTATGGCGGCCTCAGTGCTGCACAGAAGAGTAGAGTAAGGCCGGGTGCGGTGGCTCACGCCTGTAATCCCAGCACTTTGGGAGGCTGAGACGGGCGGATCACAAGGTCAGGAGATCGAGACCATCCTGGCTAACACGGTGAAACTCCGTCTCTACTAAAAAATACAAAAAAACTAGCCGGGTGAGGTGGCGGGTGCCTGTGGTCCCAGCTACTCGGGAGGCTGAGGCAGGAGAATGGCGTAAACCCAGGAGGCAGAGCTTGCAGTGAGCCGAGATCCGGTCACTGCACTCCAGCCTGGGCGACAGAGCGAGACTCCACCTCAAAAAAAAAAAAAAGAGCAGAGTAACTTGCCCAAGGCAGAGCGGATTGGAGCAGATTCCGGCTTCCTCCCAGCCCCCTGCAGAAAGTGCTCTTTCCAGACACCACCCCGCTCTGTTCCCTGACCTAACCCTCCAACCGGGCACCTCGGCCCCAAAGTCCTCTGCCTGACATGGGTGTGAGACGCTGAGGCTGCAGACTTGGAGGAGGTAGAGAGCTGGGCTTAGCACCCAGCAGGTGCTAAGAGCCATTTCAACCTCCTAGGGAACTGTCACCTAGCAAGGGCAGGGCCGCACCCGAGCGCCCACAGTGCGGCGAGGGCCCGGGAATGTTCCTGAGCGCTGGACAATCAGTCCATACTCGACAGTTTGCACAGACTTGCTGGGTCCACCCCTAGTTTATAAGCTCTGTGAGGGCGGGGGTTCACTCCCCACCTTCCCCACTCCACGGTGCCCTGCACCACATCTACTCTCACACTTGCCCAAGTACCGGAGACCTCACTGGGGCCAAAACCCATGGTCTCCAAGGAAGCCCTCACCTCCTGGGCACCATGCCCACCTCCAGGTCTAGCCCTCTTGTGCCCCTCAACATTCTCACCCCTTCCCCTGTCCCCACTTAACCCTTTGTCATCCTTCAGCTCTTGGCTCAGCTGTCACCTCCTCCAGGAAGCCCTCCCTGACTCCCTAGGTCTTGGTCAGGTACTCGTTGTCCAAGGTCCCACAGTCTCCTGCCAGGGTGTCTCTCACATTGGTTGTACCCACCCCCAGGAGCTCTGTGCCAACAGAATCCCCCCATCCCAATGTGTCTGGCACAAAGAAGGCTCTCAGTAAATAGGACTGACTGAACACCCTGGCTTGGCACAGCAGGGTGAGGCCTCCATTGCCAGGAGATGTTCCCGCTTCTGTCCCTCTGGGGTCCCAGCAGGTGTTGAGCCTGCAGGGTGAGCTGCCCAGAAGCGCTGCTGACCCTAATCCCAATCGTCACAGTGCTGGGAGCCGCCACCCACGTCAGCCTGAGGTGCTCGGCGGTGGTGCAGTTGGCCAAGACCCTTATGTAACCACCCAGCACCCACGTGGTGCCAAGTCCTGGAGAGTGATACCAGCGCCTCAGATCTGACAAGCACATGCTCTCTGCAGCCCTGAGTGGCAGCCACACGGCAGGGACCCTGGAGCAGGAGCCTGGAGCTGCCACCTGGTCCAAGGCTTTGAAGAGCTCTGACCCAGGCGTGGGCTCAGCAACCTCAGGGGAAGCCCAACTCCAGGGGTCCATGAGCTTCCCAGTCAGAGGCCCCGGTTCTAGTCACAGGCCCTGTACTTACCCCTCAACCCTACCAAGCCCCAGTCCCTCATCTGTGATGCCGTGGGCCATTGTGAGGAACCAGCAAGAAAGCACACACAAAGCCCGTGGTGTTAACCATGACCACAGTGATGGCCAGTTCTGGGCTGCACGACACCGTCTCTCCCAGTCATGCAAGAATATTGGTTTTGGTTTGTTTCATTTCGGCTTGAGACAAGGTCACACTGTCACCTAGGCTGGCATGCAGAGGCACAATCACAGCTTGCTGCAGCCTTGACCTCCTTGGGCTCAAGTAATCCTCCAGCCTTGGGCTCCCAAGTAGCTGCGACTACAGGTGTGCACCACCATGCCCAGCTAATTGAAAAAAAAAAGTTTTTGTTTTTTCAGAGACAGGATCTTGCTATGTTGTTCAGGCTGGTCTCAAACTCCAGGACTCCAGTGGTCTTACCACCTCGGCCTCCCGAAGTACTGGGGTTGCAGGCATGAGCCACCATGCCCAGCCTCCACCAGTACATGAGGCTATTTGAGTTTACATTCACTAGTATTAAAAATGCAGTCCCGGCCGGGCACGGTGACTCACACCTGTAATCCCAGCACTTTGGGAGGCCGAGGCGGGTGGATCATGAGGTCAGGAGATCAAGACCACAGTGAAACCCCGTCTCTACTAAAAATACAAAAAATTAGCCAGGTGCGGTGGCGGGCGCCTGTAGTCCCAGCTACTCGGGAGGCTGAGGCAGGAGAATGACACGAACCCAGGAGGCGGAGCTTGCAGTGAGCCAAGATTACGCCACTGGACTCCAGTCCGGGTGACAGAGCGAGACTCCGTCTCAAAAAAAAAAATGCAGTCCCACTAGCCACATTTCAAAGGCTCAGTAGCCACACAGGGCTTAGTGGCTGCGTGTTGGACTGCTCAGTTATGGAACATTTCCAGAAAGTTCCATGGGGCAGCCGCTCACACAGCCTGCTCCAGGGTCCAGCAGGTGTGCTGAGCACGTCCTGAATAACAAGTCTGAAAGTGCAGCCTTCATCAGCAGCACCAGTATTATTATTCATCTAAGAAACTTTGGGTTATTTTTGAAAGATAGAGGACATTTTGGAGAAGAAAGTTAAGAAATTACCAGGAGGCAGCGAGCTCCTCTTCCCGCCCTGGCTGCCTCCCCCGCCGCCGGCTGGAGTAGCTGATAATGAGGCTGGGCGCACTGGCCGCCCCCGGCCGCACCTTGATCTGTCCATCTGCCACCTCCTCCCTCCACGGCCCACCTGCCTCCCCGACACTAAAAATATCCCCACTTCCTGTCCAAGGTTGGCGTGGCAATGAAGCCGGAGGATTCCGAGGACCAGGCCTTGACACCCCTCCCTCCACCCCAGAGATGCAGAGGTTGGGGTCACTCAGGTGAGAAATTGAAAGCACATAACATTGCAGCTGCCTGTGGGCCAGGCTGGGGCCTGCATGATTCCACCGCATCCCAGTCTCTTTCCCTGTCGCTGTGGCCGGCACCCTCCACTCCTCACCATGCACGCGTCCCCTCCCCCTGACCCTCTCAGCACACCCCATCCACCGTCGGGTGCTACGAGCTTCGCCCAGTCCATGGGAACCACCACAATGCCAAACCCTCGCCCGTGAGCTGTACGAACTCAGCTCATCACTCCCTCCTGGACATCCCTGCCTCCTCGCCTGGCCTGGGGCTCCTCACAGGCCTGCTGGTCCCCTGCCCACTGGCCCAACAGCAGAGACCCCCCACCAAAGCCCAAGCCCAACCATGTTCCTCCTCTGCTCAGCACCCCTCCCTCAGAGGAGCAGCCACTGGGCCTCCAGGATCTCACCCTGCTGCCCTCTGAGCACGGCTCTTGGCCTGCTCCATCCCAGCCTCCATGTGTGCCTCAGACAAACGTAGTTGCCTGCCACGGGGACTTTGCACCTGCTGTTGCCACTGCCAGGAGCAGTTCCCCGAGAACACCAAGGCTGGGTCACTCCTTTCCTGCAGGGTTCTGCCCAGCGTCTCCTTAACGCATGTTGCTTTCTATGAGCAGCCTCAAGTCAAACCCTTGGCAGAAGCCAGTTAATGTTAAAGCACTCGACCCTCTCCGATTCTATCCCTTCATTCAGCAAGCACGCGTCTGCCGCGTGCCTCTGAGCACCGCAGTGCGTACACTTGGACAGACAGCAACAACTCAGTCCCTCGCAGCCCGAGAGGGGAGCGATGGCCCAGGACTCAGGGAGAGGTGCCAGGGAAAACGGACCCTGTGGCAGGGTCTGGGCACTCCAGCCAGAGGTCTCGGCAGAATCCCAGGCTGACAGGATATCACCCGGACACAGCGCCGCTACGTCAAAGTGCTCACCTCGGCGACCTGCAGGCTGGAGACGCATCTCCCCCCACCCCTCCCCACCCCTCCCTCTCTCCTTTCCCGTCCTCTCCCCGAAGCTGCCCCCATCATTTTCCAGAGATAGATCACCCCTTTGACACCCTCCACGTACCCAGAAGCAGTGCCCTCATCTCGTGCCTCTTCCTCCTGCCCAGTCCAGCAGAGCCACCCTATCCAGCCCCAAGGCAGATGTGGTGGCAGGAGGCACACTGAGATGAGTGTCCTGGCCCCTTATCCCGGGGGGTCACCAATGGAAGGCCTAGACTAGGCTGTTTCCTCACAGAGGGTTTGTAACTCTTGAAAAAGGTTGGCAATGAGCGTGTGCAGGCTTCTGAGCACAAAGGGGGACGCTTCCCCATCAGCCCTGGCACTGACCAGCTGTGTGACCTTGGGCAAATGTCTCTACCTCTCTGTTTCTCAGTTTCTGGATCAGTAAAAATAAGAACAATTATGACCACCTCAAAGGGCTACTATGGGGATGGGAGATGTCGGCTCAGGCTTGGCAAGTCACAGGTTGCTCCACGAGTGGCTGCTAACATGACTGCCCTTTCCCTCTGTCCCCCACCCCCAGTCCCTTCTCCCAGCCTCTGAAGCACAGTCAGAGGGGTTTGTCCAAGGTGCACACCTGCTCAGCCGTCCTTTTGCCTAGGACTCTTCTGTGGCTGTGTGCATGAGCCAGCAGCCGAGGGTCTTCCCGGGTCTTGGTTTCTCATGGGTGGGGAACACAGCCTGGCAGGTGTTTATAGAAGGAATGCATGCATGGATAAGCCATGCAGAGACCTTGTCATGGCACGTGTTTCAGGAGGAGCCAGAGACCCCTCGGTGTAGGATATTACTCTGCCCATGTGATCCAGGTGGCATACAGAAATTACCAGGTAGCAGGGCGAACCCTGGCCTGGTTCTGCCCACTCTGGGATGGTGGACGATAATTCCTAGACTGCACGGGTGATGCAGAGACTGTCCTCCCCTCTGGGATCCTGGGGTCCTCAGTGACTGAACAACTACAAAGTTGTCTCATGTTGTCTCAGTCTGACTCATGTTACGGGCTTATCTGCATTCCAGTACTTTCAAGATATCTATTCAGAATGGCATCTCTGGTTTACCAGAGCGCTTCACTATTTAGAATGGCCCATTCTGGAGAAGCGGTTCTGCCCAAGGGCCTGTTGGAGGACCTGGGTCCAGGGAGCAGGTGTGCCCAGGGGCGGGCTCCCGGTCCTGTCTCACCTGGCTGGGCCCTGGATGCTGACCATGCCCAGGTCCTCGGAGCTGTCGATGAGCTGGCACTGGAACTTCTGGTCCTGCAGCACGGTGGTGATGTGGGACCAGTTGTGCTGGGCCACGGCCCCGCCCACGGCCAGGTAGTAACCATCCCCTGGAAGAGAGGCACCTGGACTTAGAGCAGGATTTCAGGGCCTGGGAGGTGGGGACAGAGAGGGTGGCCCAAGGGTCTCCCGGCTGAGAAAACAGATGCATTCTCAGGGGCCTGTGCCTTCACAGTGCCCAGGGACCGTATCTGTCCCTCCCTTGGTCCCCCAGGGCCACACCCTGCACAGAGTATCCTCTGAGCCATGAGGGTTAGGAGAAGGACCTGCTTCTCAACCCCTACCACCCAGCCCTCTGCAGACACCTCAAAGGGATGCCCCCACCCTGGGAGGACGGTGTCTTGGGAACACACAGGCCTAGGCCAGCCTGGCCCAGATGCAGTTCTGTGGCTCTCCGGCCTTACTTCTCACCTCTCTGAGCCCCCATTTTCTCATCTGTAAAAGGGGTAGACCCACAACATCTGGCCCCACAGAGCTATTGGGAGCACCCCTTGGATGAGAGACCTCTCAGGGCCCCGGGCAGGCCCCAGCCAGGCTGCTCCCTCCTTTCCTCCTCTTGATACCATGAGCACAACAGAGAATGAAGGCAAAGGCAAGCCAGTCCTCAAGGGGTTCCCTGACCTCTGGGCTGGGGCTGTTTCTGGACAGCATCCTCAGCCCTATGCCAGACAGACACCCCACCTCACCTCCCTCAACATACACACACACACACACACAGCCACTCTCAGGTCCCTGGCTCCTGGGTGGCCCCACCAGTCTGCAGCTATCCCAAGCCTCTCCCAGGAGGGCATGGGAGCTACTGAGGCCAATTGGCGCCCAGGGAGATGGCAGTTGATGGGCCTGGCCTCCTATGGCCCTGACCATCCCTGATCAACTTCCCTGAAAACAAAACGCCAGTCCTGAGGCCAGTGGTCAGTCAGCCCAGGTCCAGGCCTGGCCTGCAAAGCTGACACGGCAGAGAACAGCGAGAAAGCAGGGTGGCCGGGGGACTTGCGCCATTGGCCCTGGGTGTTGGGGGAGCTGTGGGCTGTGCACCTGATTTTGTGCTTTTCAGTATTGTTGGAATGGTTCCCAGGAGCATGTATGCTTTTGTAATCTTACAAAAAGATCAATAAAGATCATTTAAAATTACTTTTAAGATTGACAGCTGCTTTGTACGCCACCTTGATCACATGTAAATCATCACATTCTCTCGGCTTCATGGTGATCTGATGTAGCATGGGTAGGTAGCACGTGTATTCAATACGTGCATATTTAATGCCCATGCATATTCATAACTCAAACAGTGCAGTTTTGAAGCCTGAAAGTAAAGCAAAGCCCACACGGTGGTTTTCTCCTGTTGAGTGGTGTCCCCAGGCCCCGCAGAGCCCTGGGGGATGTGACTCACTGTGCTAACTCCACACCCACCAAGTGCAAACCTTCCCGACAACCAGCACCGGCGATCCCCAGCCCTCAGCTCTAGGAATCCACCAGAAACCTCTGGAAAGCTAATTGTGCACCACCGGGAGATGGCTCAGCGTTCAAAGCACTTTCCTGACAGCTTCCCCTGATGAGGGGGGACGAGCAAGGTCCTCATTCCCCAGTCAGGGAAACTGAGGCTCAGGGAGGCTGGTCCCCAGCCCCCCCAGCACCCCCAGGCTCTGACACAATTCTCCATCGCAGTTCCGGGAGGCGCGTCTTCCTCACTCCATTTCACAGATGGGGGAAACTGAGGCTGAGGGAGGCAGTTCACTGAGCCAGGCAGTGGCAGGGCCTGGCCAGGATTTTGGTGACCTGTGACCTCATTTTGGCCCCTCTACTGTCTCCTCAGCTAGACTCGCTAAGTCTGTGGTTATGGGCTGTGCCTGGGCCGCCCCTCTCCTGGGGGCTGATGCCCAGCTCCTTACGGGCATCACTCCTCTCAGCTCAGAGATGCCATTTTGGCTGAATGACCCAGAGAGGACCAGCGATGGGCAGGTCACACTGGTTCTCACCAACACACCCTTGTAGCCAGCAGCTCCTACCCACCCTTCCAAGCTCAGGCTGGCCATCTCCTCCAGGAAGCCTTGCTCATCCCAGCTCAGCGGCTTCACACAACCTTCCCTAACACCTCACTCTTTCCCATCCCCTTGCATATCCCCCTCCAGGTGTTACGGAGCCCTTCCTGTCCCCATCCGCACACACAGCCCACTATGGAGTCCCTGAAGCCGCGCCGGCCTCCTTCAACTCCTCCCAGCTCTGGCTGCCCTGGTGCTGCTTCACAGTACAGGCTCCGCAAGGACTGTTGAGGGAATGAGGGAAGGACTGAGCTCACGGATCCATGAAGCACAGGTGCTCTGGGTCAGCACATGGCTCTCTCAGCCTCCATGTCACCGACGGCAAGACGGAAGGGGTGGGCGAGCTCTGCGCACCCCACAGGACCCCTCGCTCACACTCGCAGCCTCATCTCTGCCACTAGCCTCAGGACTGCAGGGCTCACCTCACTACTCCCTGCTTTTGGCAGAACCCCAGAGGCCCAGGAGTCCCCGCCAGCCCCCAGCCTCAAAGACCCCCTGGGCAGTGAGGAACGCAGTCTTCCCACCCTGGCCCCCAGTATCCCACCCGCTCTGGTCTATCATTTCTCCTCTTGACCCATCTTACATCCTACACCTTCCACTTATTCTTTTTTTTTTTTAATCCTGTTTCCTCCCACCAGAGATAGAAACTCCACATGGGCCATAACCTTCTGTGCTTGGTTCATTGCTGGGTTCTCCCTGCCTCAAACCGAGTCTGACCCACAGTCGGTGCTCAGGGAATGCTGCTGAAGGAGCGGGTTATGAGCTGATCATGAATGAACCCCTTTCTCCCCTTGCCTCTCTCCCCCAGTGCCCAAGCTGGGGCTCGACACTGACCGAGTCCCAGTGAGGAAACAACTACATTTGCCAGCAGCACGGAGTCAGGTCAAGAACCAGGAGATGCCAGCTCTTCTGAACAGGCTGAGCCCTCCCCACTGACTGCGCCCCTGCCCCGGGGACAGCACAGAGAGCTGCACAGTCAGCACCTTCCCCTGTGCAAATCCCGTCCCAGAGGCGACAATGCCCCTTCTTGGAGAAAGAGAATGTTTCCCTCTCTGCTTCTTCATCCCTGGTGGGGATGGGTTACAGAACGAGAGATCAGATGGCTCCTGTGTGAACCCAGGGCAGGATCAGGGAGCCGAAGGGACAGGAGGCAGGTCCTGGCTCTGGGTAACCATGAGGGTACTGAGCTACCCGTCACGGAGGGCATGCAAGCAGACATAGAGGGACTGCAGAGGGCAATCAGGCATTGGCGTGGGCCCCGAACCGGACATCTTCTAAGGGCCTATCCAAGCCTCAGACTAGGGGGTCACACAGGCCTGAGAAGTCAACCCAGCAAGGATGTCAGTGGCAGAAAGGAGCCGACTGCTTGGAGTGGGAGGCACGGCCCAGCATTGGCACGCTCTGTTCCGGGCAACCAGGCTGAGCACGCCCACGCTGCAGCCACTCCGAAACGCAGCAGTGTGGACAGGTTCAGAGATGCAATCATTGAGTACTGGGAGCTCCAGCAGTGCCGCCTGAACAAAGCCCGCATTTAGCCTGAAACGAGACCTCTAATCTCCCAGCCCTGACCACAGTGGGCACAACAGCTAACGACAGAGCTGCCGTCAGCAGCTCATCCCATCCATCCCGCCCTGTCCACAGCCACCAGTCCACAGAGCAGGCCGCAGTCACAGCGCCACACACACAGAGGCGTCCCATACCTTCAAAGGCGGGGGCCAGTGGGGAGGCCTGGTGGCTGGGTGCCAGGCGGCTGACAGTCAGGTCACTCTCGGTGCCCCCACGGTGGTTGAGCATGCAAGTGTACACGGTGGAGCCTGCGAGAGGGAGAAGGAAGCCGGGTCTGTGCTGAGGCCCCAGCCAGGTCTGTGCTGCCTCAGTTTCCCCAGGGCCGCTCACAGCGGCAGCTCCTTGTCGCAGAGGCTAGATAACTCCCACACAGGATGCCCTACTGGGAGGTGACCTGGAGAGCCCCTCAGCCCAGGGATGCCATTTTCAGCTGAATGACCCAGAGACGACTGGCCTTGGGCAGGTCGTCCCATCACCGCCACCCTTGTGGGAAGGAAACTTCTTTCTTCTTGAAATGCCTTGGCACTGGCCCCTCCCACCCATCCACCACCATGCTGAGAAGTTTCTAGGGACAGGATTCATGTCCCCCATTCATTCTGGGGCTCCTAGCACCGTGCCTGGAACCGGAGAAGACTCCATAAATGTCTGTGGCATAAATTACTTTGTGGATGGAGGATGGATGGACAGATGGGAAGGTGGGCAGATGGATGGGAGGAAGGGAGTGGGTGAGTAGAAGGGGGAACAGATGTATGGCGAAACAGGGATGTGTGGGCTGGCGGATGGGTGGATGGAAGACTGAGTGGGTGGCTGGATTAATGGGAGGTGAGCAGCAGGTGCTCAGGAGTCTGGGGAGTGAGTTTGTTGGTTGGCTGGCGAGATGATGTTAGGGGTTGAATTGTGTCCCCCCTAAAAGATACGTGAAAGTCCTCACCCCAGGACTGGGAATGTGATCTTACTTGGAAATGGGGTCTTTGGATATGTGATCAGGTTAAAGTGAGGTCATTAGTGTGGGCCCTCATGTAATCTGACTGCTGTCCTTATAAGAGGAGAACACGGCCGGGAGCGGTGACTCACACCTGTAATCCCAGCACTTTGGGAGGCCGAAGCAGGAGGATCACCTGAGGTCAGGAGTTTCAGACCAGCCTGGCCAACGTGGCGAAACCCTGTCTCTACTAAAAATACAAAAAATTAGCTGGGCGTGGTGGTGGGTGCCTGTAATCCCAGCTACTCAGGAGGCTGAGGCATGAGAATCACTTGGACCCAGGAGGTGGAGGTTGCAGTGAGCCGAGATCACGCCATTGCACTCCAGCCTGAGCGACAGAGCGAGACTCCATCTCGGAAAAAAAAAACACACACACACACACACAAAAGAGAACACCTGGAGAAGGCCTTGTGACACAGGCAGAGACTGCAGTGACGCAGCTGCACGCCAAGGAAGGCCAAGATTCCCTGCCACCACCAGCAGCTGGAAGAGCAAGGAAGGGTCCTCTGCAGAGTGTCAGGTACAGACACCCTCATTTTGACCTCCAGTTTCCACAACCGTGACAATGAATTGCAGTTGTTTTAAGCCACCAGGTTTGTGATCCTCTGTTCTGGCAGCCCAGGACACTCATGAAGACAGGGATGCGTGAGCTTTTGGGTGGGTGGGTGACGAAAAGGCAGATGAAGATCCCAAGTATGTCCCAAATATGGCTTGGGACATACTTATATTAAAAATGAGTCATTATGTATCCAAAATTCCAATGTAGCTGAGCATCCTGTGTTTCTATTTAATTCTGGCAATCCCACCTGTGAGAGCATGGCGGGGACTGGGCCCCCCAGTCCCAGGAGAGAGGTGGCTGAGGGCCAACTGCCACACATCCTGTCTGGAACAGAGTAGAGAGGAAGCCAGAGGTGGGGAGGAGAAGGAGGGTGGGAGGGAGAGGTGGAGGAAAGTAATGAGGGCCTGGGGTCTGGGATGGGGCAAACGGGGCTGGACAAGGGGGCCCAAGGCCAGGTGAGGGCAAGGAGCAGTGTGCTCAGGGTGCCCGAGGGGACTGGGTGGCTTGCCAGTTCATCTCAGTGCCTGAAGCTATGCCCATGGAGTGACAGGAACATGTGTTCCAACCCCAGACTCCATACCTGGAGGTCGGCTGACATCTGCGGAGAACAGCCAGTCGGCAGCCTTCCTTGCATCCAGTCCCACCAGGTAGAACTTCCCAAAGTAGGACATGTCAAATACAGCGGCGGCCCCTCTGCAGGCCAGACACTCCTTCTTGATCTGAAAAGTTCCAGGGAGGTGGGAATGCCGCGGGGGCCTTTGGGGTGTGCTTCTTCCTCAAGAACGTGGAGAACGGGGGCTCTTTCCAACACACCTGTACTGAGCCTCCCCTCCCTCTCTTCCAGCCCAACCAAGCCCTTCTCAGCTCAGGTGCACACTGTGACACACGCTTCTCAAGCACAGGACATGCTCCCCAGGATAGATTATATGCTAAGCCACAAAACAAGGCTCAATAAATTCAAAAAGGTTGAAATCATATAAAGGATGTCCTCTGACCAAGATGTAATTAAATTAGAAATCAGTAGCTGAAGAAAAATTGGAAAATTCACAAATAAGTGGAAATTATACAACACACTGCTAAAGAACCAATGGATCAAAGATTCACAAAGGGAATTAGAAGTTACTGAATTAAATGAAAATGAAAGCACAACACAAAACCACTTATGAGATGCAGCTAAAGCAATGCTCACGGAGAAATTTCTGCTTGTGTGTGATTGTATTACAAAAGACGACCTCAAATCAATAGCCTGATCTTCCACTTTGAGGCACCAGAAAAAGAGTATAATTAAACCCAAAGCAAGCAGAAGGAATGAAATGTTAGAACAGAAATAAATAAGAATAGAAAAATAGAAAAAAACAGCAAAACAAAAAGCTGATGTTTGAAAAGGTCAACAAAATTGACAAACTTCTAGCTAGAGTGACAGAGAAAATGAGAGTACTCAAAGTGCTAAAATCAGGAATGAAAGAGAGGATATCATGCCTACCCTAGAGAAATAAAAGGGATTCTGAGGGAACTCTATGAACAACCGAATGCCAACAGACTAGACACGAAATGGACAAATTCCTAGAAACACACAAATTACTGAAACAGAATGAAGACATGACAAATCTTAATAGAACCAAAACAAAAAAGAGATGGAATTTGTCATTGAAAAATTGTCCATAATCCCAGGTCCAGATGGCTTCCCTGATGAATTTTACCAAACAGTCAAAGAAGAACTAATACCCATTTTTCCCAAACTCTTCCAAAAAATATGAATAGGAAATACTTGCCAATTCACTCTAGGAGGCCAGCATTACCCTGATGCCAAAAGCAGAAAAAGATATTATAAGAAAGCTACAGACCAATATTTCTTACAAATATAGACACACGCAAAAAAAATCCTCAATAAAATACTAGCAAATCAAATCCAACAACATAGGAAGAGATTACACACCACAATCAATGGGATTGGTCCCAGGAACGTGAGGTTGGTTTAACATTCAAAAATCAATTGATGTAATGCAACATATTAAGAGAACAAAGGACAAAACCATCTGATCCTCCAATAGATACAGAAAAGTATTTGACAAAATTTACCTGTTCATGATAAAAACGCACAACAAACTAGGAATATAAGGGAGCTTCCCTCACCTGATGAAAGACACCTACAAAAATCACATAGCAAACATGATACTTCATGATGAAAGATCAGGAACAAGATGGGGGTCCATTCTTACCACTCTATTCAACATTGTACTGGAAGCTCTAGCCAGGGCAATTAGGCAGGAAAAGAAAAATAAGAGGCATCCAGATCAGAAAAGAAGAAATAAAAACATCCCTATCTGCCAATTACAGTATCTTGTATGTAGGAAATCCTAAGGAATCCACTAAAAAAAAAAAAAAAAAAAAAAAAAAAAAAAAAAAAAAAACTGCTAGAACTAATAAAATAGTTTAACAAGGTTGCAGGATAGAAGGTCAATATATAAAAACATACAAAAAACTATTGTATTTCTATATTAGCAATGAACAATCTCAAAAGGAAGTTTTAAAAAATTCTATTTATAGTATCATCAAGATAATAAAATGCTTAGGAATAAATTTAATTTAAAAGTCCAAAACTTATATCCTAAAACCTAAATTTTTTTAAATAAATGAAAGGAGACCTAAATAAGTGGAAAGACATCCCATGTTCATGAAACAAAAGACTTACTATTGTTGAAATGACAATAAACCCCAAACAGATCTACAGACCTAACACAGTTCCTATCAAAATTCTCAGCTGGTTTATTTGCAGAAATTGACTAGCCAATCCTAAAATTCACATGGAGATTCAAAGGGGCCAAGAATACTCAAAACAATATTGAAAAAGAAAAATAAAGTTGCAGAATTCACACTTCTTGATTCCAAACTTGCTATTAAAATACAAAGCTACGTAATCAAGACAGTGAGGTACTAAATAAGAATAGACCTACAGATCAGTGGAATAGGACTGAGAGTCCAGCAATAAGCCCTCATCTTTACAGTCAATTGATTTTCAACTAGGGGTGACAACTAGGGGTGCCAAGACAATTCCAAAGGGAGAGCAATCTTTTCAACAGCTAGTGCTGGGCCAACTGGGTAGCCACATGCAAAAGAATGTGGCTGGACCCGACCTCACACCATGCACAAAAATTAATTTTCATGGACCCTAGACCTAAGTGTAAAAGCAAAGACTGTAAAAGTCTTAGAAGAAAACATGTTTTTTACCTTCAGTTAGGTTCTTAGACATGTTACCAGAACCACAAGCGACAAAAGAAAAATATAGAGATGAACTGGACAGCACCAACATTTTAAAAGCTGGAAACAATGCCAGCAAGGAAGAGATAGGACAACCACAGGATGCGGAGAGTGTGTGCACATTACAGATCTGATAAGGGACTTGTATCTAAACTACATAAAAACATTTGCAACCCAACAATAAAAAGACAGTCGGGTGCGGTGGCTCACGCCTGTAATCCCAGCACTTTGGGAGGCCGAGGCAGGCAGATCACCTGAGGTCAGGAGTTCAAGACCAGCCTGGCCAACATGGAGAAACCCCATCTCTATTAAAAATACAAAATTAGCTGGGCATGGTGGTACACGCCTGTGATCCCAGCTACTCAGGAGGCTGAGGCAGCAGCATTGCTTGAACCTGGGAGGCGGAGGTTTCAGTGAGCCGAGATCACGTCATTGCACTCCAGCCTGGGCAACAAGAGTGAAACTCCGTCTCAAATAAGAGGAGGAGGAGGAGGAGGAGGAGGAGGAGGAGGAAGAGGAGGAGGAGGAGGAGGAGGAGGAGGAAGAGGAGGAGGAGAAGAAGAAGAAAGAAGAAGAAGGAGAAGGAGAAGGAGAAAGAAGGAGGCGGGGGGAGGAGGAGGAGGAGGAGCAAGACAAATAACCCAATTTTAAAAGGGACAAAGGATCTGAACAGACATTTCTCCATAGAATATATGCAAGTGGACAACAGGCCCATGAAAATGTGCTCAACATCATTAGTTGTTCCAGAAATGCAAATCGAAACCATAATGAAATGCCATTTCACACCCACCAGGATGGCTAGAATCAAAAAGTCAGATAATGAGTGTTGGCGAGGATGTGGAGACACTGGAATCCTCTTGCACTGTGGTGGGGAATGTAATGTGGTACAGCTACTTTGGAGAACAGTTGGCGTTCCCTCAAAATGTTAAACAGGGATACCACTTGACCCAGGCCTAGTTACACACCCATGAGAAATGATAACATACATGCATACAACACCTGGTACATGGATGTTCACAGTAGCACTGCTCATAGGAATTCAAAAGTGAAAACAACTCCGATGTCCACCAATGGATCAATGGATAAGTAAAATATGATGGGTCCATACAATGGAATATTATTGGAATAAAAAGGAATGAAGTGGCCGGGCCTGGTGGCTCATGCCTGTAATCCCAGCACTTTGGGAGGCCAAGGCAGGTGGATCACCTGAGCTCAGGAGTTCGAGACCAGCCTCGCCAAAACAGCAAAACCTCATCTCTCCTAAAAATACAAAAATTAGTTGGGCGTGGTGGCAGGTGACTGTAATCCCAGCTACTTGGGAGGCTGAGGCAGGAGAATTGCTTGAACCTGGGAGGCGGAGCTTGCAGTGAGCCGAGAGCACACCACAGCACTCCAGCCTGGGCAACAGAGCAAGACTCCATCTCAAAAAAAAAAAGAGGAATGAAATGCTGACACACACAACATGGATGTACCTTGAGACTATCACACTAAGCGGAAGAAGTTGATCACAAAAGGACACATAGTTTATGATTCTACTTGTGTGAAATATACAAACTAGATATATCTACAGAGACAGAAAGTAGAGTAGGGTTGCCCTGGGTTAGGGATAGGGTGGGGTATGGGGTATCTTTTTTTGCTGGGAGATTAAAAAGTTCTAAAACTAGATCGTGGTGATGGTTGCACAACCCTGTGAACTCACTAAAAAACATTGAGTTGTACCCTTTAAATGAATAAATTATATAGTATGTGAATTAGATCTCGATAAAGCTGTTTTTTAAAAAATACACACACACACACACACACACACCATCACTCCCTATTTCCTTCCCCAGATTTACAAATGCCTGGGTGAGATTTTCAGAGTCTCCTATTCTTCACTGTATTTTCTACTTGGTCTTCCCCTTCAGGGCTCAACATGCCCGCCACTGCTGAGCAGATGTGCCCACCTCATTGTTATTATGGGGAAAAAATAACCATGACAGCAACAACCACAGCTTCCTGAACAGTTGCCGTGTGTCGGGCAGCTGTTTCATCTCCTCCCAAACTCCCTATGAGTTTCCACGAGGGAACTCATATTACCCCTCATGCACTCAGGGAGGCCAGGGGTGGTGGCACAGCCGGGCAGTGGCAGAGCTACGGTCCAACCAGGCTGTGCAGGGGTGCACTGACCCTGAGAGCTGGTCACACAGAACCCTGCCCAGCTCTGCATTCAGTGACGCCTCATTGGCGGACTGGATTGAAATCAGCCATGGAGAAAGTATTTACATCAGGGAAATTGGCCAGTGCTGCAGAGCCAGCTTCCTCCCCTCTGCCCCAGAGAGCTGGTTGTTAAGCTGTTACCAGCACACCACAGGGACCGTCTGCCTCCTGAGCTCTCCATGGCTTCTCCAGCCCCGGCAGGCATCACTGTCCTTCAGGACAGGGTTCCCCTTTGTTGGTTTCTGCCGTGCCTTTGCTGATGCCACCGGGGCTGCAGACCAAAACCCTCAGCGGTCTCCCGCACTGGGCTCCTCTAGCGGGCCGGGGAAGCTGCCAGCGCCAAGAACAAGCACGCATTTTGTGCTTTAGGACGGCTTCAGGCATGTTTGCGGAGGCTGGATGAAGCCACAAAGCCAAGTTGGCATCTCCCCCGAGCTCCCACATCCTCGAGGGCCAGAGTCCCACAGGCTTTAGAAGCTGTGGGTGCGGAGGTGCCAGACGGAGCCCTGAGCACTCGCCGGGAGGCAGCGACGAGGGACTCGGGCACTGAGCCGGCCCTGCTGCTCGGGCGTTTCATGACACACACGCCTCCTCCTTCCTGTAGGAGCCCCCTCTTCCGACGCCTTGAACAGATGTTCTGCCACTAGAGCAAGCTTTGGGGGAGATGGTGGAAATGAACGGTTTCTTCCCTTCGGGACTGGCTACGGAACCCAGTGCGGGACCCAGTGGGACCCTTGTTCAAAGACCATGAAGAATGTCAAGGCACTGACAGCAAAGCATGAACCCAAGCTGGGCCCTTCAAGGCAACCCCAGGGTCAGACCCTATCGAAGCCAGGCTTGTGACTGTCCCAGAGACCCCAGGAAGGAACCCCCTCATGGATGCCTCCTAAGCTGTCCCTGGGCTCTGAGACTCTGGGCTCAGGCCTGGGCTCTGCTCCTATGTCAGATTTGCGATGAGATGTCACGCGTCTCCCTGGGGTGGCACAGGGACAAGAGCTGTGCTCCACCTGTGAGCACTTGACCACACGGCTGGGCAGGCCAGGGCAGACGCTGGCCTCACTCCTTCTGGGACAGCTGCCAGGGAGAACGCCCTTGTGTGGTGCAGGCTGCTGCAGGGGAGAAGACCCCCAGACTCCTCACCTCCACCCCCCGCACGTGGGAGCCAGGTCCCCAGGCAGGGGCGACAGGCTGCCAGCTGCCCCGTGTGACCAGCCTCGCCTGCCCACTTTGGAGCAAGAGGAACAGCAAGCAGACTCCAGGCCACGGCCCTCCCGGCTCTGGTTCCCTCTGCTTGTCTCTTGCAGGGGCCCATACGGGGCCTGATGCCCAGGAGCCTCCGGTCACCTTGTCCTGGCTCTGCTCTGTGCTGGCTTCCAGTAAGGAGAAACCCCTTCCCCCACCACTTCTCATGCCAGCCTCAGAGCAGCTCTGGAGAGCGGGAGGGGGAGGCTCAGAGCGGTGCAGCCCCGCCGGGCCCCAGCCCATAGTCTCAGCCCCCACCTCACCCCATCCCCAGCAGCACCACTTCCGCTCAGGCCTGGCTGCTGGCAAAATCTCGGTACAGAGGGAGGAGCGGGGAGAAGAAAACGCATGATTCCTCCCCAAAATGGAGTCAGCCGAAAACAGCATGAATGCCGAGCCTGAAGAGACTCCTGGGGGAGGGGAGCCCCCGCAGGGCCAGACTAGGGCCTGCGCGATGGGAGGCTCATCTGAGGGACAGGGAGAGAGACGGACCCCCGCGGTGGACCCCCAGCTACGCACCGTGTCGTGGTGGGGCGGGAAGTCAAAGGTGTACTCGTCCGCCAGCAGCCTGCGGTAGGCGTAGTCCTCATGCGGGCGGCTTCCGTAAGCCCCGTAGTAGTCGTACTCGAGGACCTGGGAAGAAAACACTTGGTCCTCGGCCTCCCTCTCTGGTCCTTCCTGGCTTCCCTTCCCAGAGCGGGGTCCCTCTGGGGCTGTGATGGAGACAGGCCTGGCCCTGCCCTCGGAGAGCCCTGCAGTAAGTGCCAGTGTGTTGTGGACACGGGCAGGGGGCTCCCATGAGGTCCAAGCAAAACAGTAGCACAAAGGAGGCAGCAGTGTTCCCTGGTGGGTCTGAGAGCCCAGCCAGGGCCCAGGAGGCTGGAGGAGAAGCTGGATGCACCCAAAGTGGGGAATGACAGGGAGAAGCGGTTACTCAGGACCTCAGCCAGGGCTGCTCCCTGGAGCCACCGCAATCCCAGGCCCAGCTCCTGCCCTGGGCCAGGCCCTGTGGGAAGTGCCTTATGCTCCCACCAGGGGTGCCCCTTTCTACAGATGAGGAAACTGAGGCGCAGAGAAGTTACATCTCGCCCAAGGGCACAGACAAGACCCAGACGGGGCAGTGGCATGAAGCCAGGCAGGTGCGTGGGCTCCAGAGTCCAGCTTCTCTGCCATGGCCTTGGCCTCCCTGGGATCTGCCTCTCTCTCAGACACCCCACAGCCCCATGCCCCTCCCTGGCCTCTGCTCCTGCAGAAAACCCCCCACGTGCCCTCCTAACTACTGGCACGGCACAGCTGTGAATGCAGGTGCGGGCAATTCTTGCCTCCCAGGGCCGTCAGCCCTGCCGGCCCGCCCAAGCCTCACCTGCTCTTCATACACAGGTGGGAGCCAGTGTGAGGTTGTAAAGGAGTAAGGGTTTGCTGGCATCTCCGCGTGGAGTCCCCTCCCTCCCCAGCAGGGACATCCCACCCACTGCAGCCCTGCCAAGGTGTCCTGGGCACCCAGGCTGGCTCCTGGGTGGGGGTGCAAAATCTGCCCATCTTGGGACCTGGGGTGTGTTCCTGACTCTCTCCTCTTCTTGCCCAAGGAGAGGGGAGAGGGGCTTCCAGGGCCAGATCTGACTGGAACACAGTGGGCTGCGCTTTAAGAAAGGGTCTGCCCAGACCCCTCCTCCCCACAGGGTTCATGAGGACTGCATGTCCCCAGGGGCCAGCAGGAGAAGAGACGATGACCAGCGAGACTCTGACCCCAGAGCCGAGGCCCCATTAGCCAGCTCTGGTTCCCGTCTCCCCTCCAGATGCCCTGGAGCTCTGGAACCTCTCCTGGGCTGTGGGTTGCCATGGGGATGGAAGGTGGGTGCACCAGAGGGGACTGGTGAGATGCAACCCTGGGAAGGGGATTTTGATTTCTGTAAATCTGGACCAAATGCTACCCCTCAGCTGGCCTTAAGGCCTCGCATCGCCTGCTCCCGAGTGCCTGGGTCCCAGGTGTCACAGCAGGACTGCCTTTGTTCCTCTCTCTCTCTCAGGACCCAGGTCCGTGGGAGGCCCCAGAGGACGCCCAGAGTCCAGGCCACTGTGAAACCTCCACTGGGAAATGGAGCACTCTGGGTGCATGAACCCTCCCACTGCCCGCCCTCGTACGGACATAAACCAACCGTCGGAGCGGCCAAAAATAGATGCACAGAATTAGGAGAAGACGCTCCATTCCTCCTGCAACCTGAGTCTTATTGCTGTCTCCCCACCGCGCAACACCCCTTCTGCTCTGCCCACAGCCCTTACCACTTAGGCCACGGAAGGCCTGGCGGTGGCGGGCGAGGAGTGGGGTCTGCGTGAATGGCACAAAGAATGCACCGAGCCTTGGGGGCAGGTCGGTGGGGCTCGGCTTCCCGTGTGCAGAATAACTGATCACGACAGTGGAGCCACCTGGGGAGGCGGGGTACATGGAGGGGCAAGGACGGGGTACGCAGAGGGGCAAGGGGGTTGACAGGGCAGGGCCTCCCGGCAGCACAGCCCAGCAGGCGCTACTCACCGGAGCTGGGCCTTGGGGATGAAACCATCCCGGTCGCTCCCAGCCATGCCGCTCCTGGAACACGCAGCCTTGTCCAAGGAGTTCCTGAGCGGGAATGGGGAACAGGCACCTGTCACAAAGGGCTGGATACCCCTGCACAGGGCAGAGTGCCACATCCACGACTTTACACCCAAGGTGCGGAGAGCAAGGAGGCCCTGACTCTTAGAACCAGGTCCCCAGCCCAGTGTTTGCAGCTACCCTCACTGCTTCACCCTGAGAACCCCTATGCATAGAATGACCACCTGCCTCGTCTGCCCTTGCCCTGAGAACCCTATCTACAGAATTACCACCTGCCCCAATCTGCCCTTGCCCCCAAAACCCCATCTATAGAATTATCTGCCCTGATCGGCCCTTGCCCCAGGAATCTCATCTATAGACTTACCACCTGCCCCATCTGCCCTCACCCTGAGAACCTCCATCTGTAGAATTATCACCTTCCCCTATCTGCCCTCGTCCTGAGAACCCCCATCTATAGAATAGCACCTGCCCCATCTGCCCTGGCCCCGATAACCCTCATCTGTAGAATTACCACCTGCCCTGATCTGCCCTTGCCCTGAGAACCCTCCTCTTAGCAGAATTACCATCTGCTAAGGACGGAATCCCATCCCCACATAAATTTGTATGTCAAAGCCCTAACCCCGACGTATTTGGAGATGGGATCTTTAGGTTAAGTGAAATCACCGACGTGACTGTATTTGGAGATGGGATCTTTAGGTTAAGTGAAATCATCAGGGTGGGTCCTAAGCCCATACAGCTGGAGCCCTTATAGGAGGAGGAAGTGACGCCAGGGCCCTCTCCCCGCTGCATGAGGACAGTGAGAAGGTGGCCGACTACGAGCCAGGAGAGCCCTCTCCAGGAAGCCATCGGCCGACACCTTGATCTTGGACCTCTGAGTCTCCAGAAATGTGAGAAAAAAAGGTCTGTTGAAGCCTCCCCACCTGTGGCCTTTTGCTGTAGCTGCCCGCACGGAAAGATGCACCATATGACCCAGCAATTCCACTCCCAAGTACGCACAAGAGAACTGAGAGGAGGGTTGCAAACAAATTCTGTTCACGCATGTTCACTGAGCTCTATCAACCACCAAACAGGGGAGAGAACCCACGTGGCCCTCAGCTGATGAGCGAGAAAGCAGGTCTGCCTACACCGTGGAATATTATTCAGCCATAAAAAGCAACAACATTTGGACACGTTTTATGACATGGATGAACCTTGAAAACATGCTCAAGGAATGAAGCCGGACACAAAAGGTCATGTATTGGATGATTCCCTGCATACAAAGTGACCTGAACAGGCAAATCCATAGAGACCGAAAGCAGCTTAGTGGTTGCCAGGGCTGGCGAGAGGGAGATGAGGAAGGGCTGTTTACGGGGGATGGTGTTTCCCTGTGGGGTGATGAGCATGTTCTGGAACTGGATAGTGGGAATGGTTGCACAGCACTGCAAATGCACTTAATACCACCGAATTATACACTTCAGAGCAGTTAAAATGGCTCATTTCAAGATCTGCCTACTTAATCACAACAACGAATGCAATGAACACACTAGAGAAACAGAGTGGGAGATTTCTTTAAAAATAAATTTGGTTTGGGAAAAAAAAGAATACGCACTCTCGGGTTTGGAAGGGCCCCTACCCAGGGGCCACCCCCTCTGACTGGAATGAGGACCCAAGCCCAGGGCTGAGAGGGCCTCGGGGGCCGCATCTGGTTCCAGATGGGCAGCTGAGGGCCTGTCCCAATGGCACCTGCCCTCCCCTCCATCCCCGAGGTCCTGAGGAGGAGGAGGCACGCCCAAGGCCACAGCATTCATCAGTGACATGGACATGTCCTCCCCGCCCACCTGGGATTCCGAGGGGGCAGCAATTGAGGGCACAAGATCCACCCACCCCTCAGTGAACAATGGGGACATCCCATGGGCCACCTTTCCAAGGATGGAAAGTGTTCATCTCAAGAGCCCATTAAGAGAGGGCAGGCTCCCCTCTTTATAAAAGAAAGAAAGAAAACAAGCGGCTGTCAAGTGTCGCAAGAAGGCTGCTAACTAAGAAGGGAAGTCGAGGCGTGGGTGAACGAAGATTTCCCTGGGGGGCAGGGGCGTGCTTCAGCCCTTGCCAAGTTTCTTTGGTAGAGCTGTTCAGTTCTGAGGAATTCGTCTGAGCTGACTGCAAGGGGAGCAAACCCTGCATTCACCCAGGGCGGCTTCTGAACTGTCAGGACGGGCAAGGGGGTGATTACTGATCATAGGCCCGGGGGCATGCTAGGGAGACCCCAGGGCCGTGTGTGGCCTCAGATCGTAGCTGGTCCACCAAGCCAGACCAAAGGGCCAGGGCAGCCTGGGAGCCAGCCCTCTGACCACTCTGGGCTCTCCCCAGGAGGTGGAGCTAATACTGGGATCTCTCATGGGGCCAGACACTGGAGTCTCAGGTGAGGGAGGTCCCTTCTCCAGTTTAAACCGCCACCTGCTTCCTGAGCCTGCCCTCTTGCCTCCCTGCCTATCCATCTGTTCAGTAATCATCCCCCAATCACCCCAGTGCTCAGGACATAGCCCCTGTACCCCAGCAAGCAAAGCATCCAGCACAAGATGGCCGGGGAGGGGGAAGGAATGGAGACAGGGCCTGGGAATGCAGGGAAGGAGCTCCTGGGTCTTTGGGGACCAGGGGAGGGCACAGGGGCAGACCTGAGAAAGGGGCACCTGACCGTGGGTTTCACTGAATGGGTGAGTTGGAGCTCACCAGGGTAGCAGCAGACTCTACAAGCAGGAGCCCCTCTCCCACGTATGCCGTGTTCTGGCTGCTCCCCCCACATATGACTGCATACACCCACAAGACTCCGCCCCCCAGGACCCCTGCCCTGTTGGCGTTGCTGCCAGCAGTTGGCGGGGGGCGGTTCCTGGGTGCGTGTTCCTGCTTCTCCACTAGAACGGAAGCCCCCTGGATGGGAGGGAGCCATTTCCACTTTATTCCCTAACGTCCCCGGCCCTGAGCACTGCGCCCAGCACATGGGGGTGCCGGGTTACTACCTGGGGAATGACAGACACCTTGTCACCACGCCTGACCTGCGGTTGGGGTATGCCTTGCATTTTCTGCCATCCTGCTGCCCTGAGGACGTCCCAGACCCTAGCTGCCGGCCCCCAGCAGGAGCTGTAGAGCGTCACCTCGTGCAGCGGGTCTCTCCTCATGTTGCGCCCGGCCAGCGGCTCATCGTGGGGGAAGACAACGGAGTAGTTCTTGGCGTAGGACTCATGGCTTCGCTCTCGGATCCAGCGGGGGTGGTCCGTGAGCGAGTGATGGAAGCGTCTGCCGCAGACAGGGGCACGGGTCACTGCTTTGGGGACGGCCCGTCAGGGAAGGGCTGGCCTAGGACCCAGGGCAAGCCTGGACCCTGGACCCCTCCACCAGAGTCCCCTTTGTGGCTCAGCATTGAGCGGGCCCCCGACTCTCCATTCGCCCCGCACCTGGGTGAGCCTGGCTTTCTCCCCCAGAGTCACCCCACCCCGGTGGCCCTCAGTGAGTGGGCACTGCGGACAGAGGATCCAGCTGAGGCTCTCATCCCCCACGGGGGCATGGGGCTCTGGCCTCGCTCTCCACGCATTGCTGTCTGCTGCCTAGGTTCCAGTGCTGGGGAGCCGTGGCGCCCCACCCCATGACTGCGGAGGGAGCAGCCACTGGGAGGGGTGGGCTTAGATCCCCAGAATGCTCTGGGGAGGGTCCATATAAAGGGTCTTTAAAGTTTAGCCTGGTAATGCATCAGAACATCAGTGTCCCCCTCCTCGGCAAGGGACCCCCCCCTTTCCACCCGCCAGCAGGGGAGTGGGGGCAAGGGTGGCCGCCTGTCCCATCAGGCCCACCCAAGTCTGTGATTCCAAAGCTGGGCCTTGTCTGTGGGTCGGACCAGGGACCCAAGAGGTGCAGAGTCTCTGGGGCGAATCCCAGCTGGGTCTGGGGAGCAGCTGCAGAATCCAGCCCCTGGGACCAGAGACGATGCAGCTGCCATAGTTTTGGGTTTGTTCCTTCGAGGCTGGGGACCGTGTGCAGCCACTGCAGCCCCTGGTGGTGTCCAGCGCCAGCCCGGCAGGCCCCACGCTATTTCTCATGGAGCCATGGAGCTCTGTGGCCGCACCTGTGGCCTAGGCCTCTGCTGCCCCTGAGTGGGCAGAGCAGCCAGTGTCCCACGGCTTGTTCCCTGGTCTCCTCAGACCAGCCACCGCTCCTGTGGAGCTGCTGGCTGGAGTGAGACCTGGGCCCAGCTACATCACGGCCCTGCAGCCGCCTCCCGTGCACAAACCTCCCTCTCAGGCCCCAGCTTTCCCAGGGCCCCGCCTCCCCCTCATGCTCCACCTGCTGGAACCTCACTCATCACTCAAGACCTGCCTCAGGCGCCACATCAGAGGCGTTTCTGTCCTCAGTGGCACCTGTCAGAGCTGATTCTTAGTCTGCACGTAATTCTGGCAAGCAGGATTTTCTGATCTGGATGGGTGGAGAGTAGAGGTGCAGACGTGAGGATTATTATTAATGATATTATCATTAACAGCTGCTGTTGCTCATGACCCCCAGCGCCAGCGCAGGCCCAGAGCCGAGTGCTGCTGTGGGAGGAAATCCCTCTCTGTCCGCAGAACTGCCTTCTGCACGGGACCCAAGGTTAACTCTTTCACGTGAGAGGGAAACTGAGGCTCGGAAGGGTCTCACAGGTGTTCACGGTCACACGGCAAGGCCTCGGCAAAGCCAGCCCACACCTGTGCTGGGCTACGCTGACCAGGAGCTGAAGGAGGGAGTAATGGAGCCGGTGAGGGTCTGGGAGGATTCCTGGGGGCAGCAGTGAGGTGCACATCAGGCGGCAGGAGCAGCGAGTGACGTACAGGGGCCCACCTGCCAGTTCTGCCTGTGAGTAAGTGGGCAGAGGGACCAGGTGGGCCCGGGCCACCCTCTTCACTTAAATAAAGAGCTACTGTTCCCTGGCTCACCCGGTCCCCAAGGAATTTCCCTGAAAACATAGCCCAGCCTACATTCTGGCTCTGCCTCTGTTGGGTACTGGGCCAAGCGTCCACACGCATGAGCCTCAAGTGCACTCCAAGAGGGTGGTACATTGTTCCCATTTTCCAGATGGCAAAACTGAGGCTCAGAGAAGAGGAGGGACTGACCAAGGGCCATGCAGCTGACAGATGTGGGGCTGGGGTGACTGCCTCTTATCTGATCTCAAAGGGAACTCACGCGCAGGGCAGCTGCCACGGCCTGGAAGCTGCGTGGTGCCCAGCCAGCCCTGGGACCCTCATGCGTAGCCTGGAGACCAGACAGGCCCTGGACCCAGGGAGGGCTCTGGCTGCCTGGTCTCCCGGGACACCCCCTCGCTGTGCGTGTCTCCCATGTGTAAGATGAAGGACGACCCAGGCGTGTTCTGGCTCTGGCCTGAGGGGAGCAATCAGGAGTCTCTGGGCAGGGGAAAGCTCCGTTCTGGTGCCGGCGTGCTCTGTTCACTTTCTTTTCTGGGTCTTTCAGCGACTCTCTCAGGCACCTCCTTCCTCTCCTTGCTGTGTCTGTCTCCTGCAGGGTCTGTGTCTTATGTCTGTCCCCGGGCACAGGCCCGAGGTAGCAGAGCATCACATGAGTGCTACAGCCCCTGGGGGCCGGCGGCTGGTCCTGCTGGTGGCAGCCGTCCACCCTGGCACACTGAAGGGGTTTGGAAGCCCCACATCAGTGACGGCTGAGCTGAGGACAGCATTAGCCTATGTGTCCTGGGTGCCACCAGCCAGGCTGCTTGGCAGGGGTCTGGGACCAACAGGGTGGGTGCTCCTCCCGCTGCTGTACTCCAGCTCTCAGGGGCTCCCCATCTGTCCCCTTGGCTCCCAGCCCCAGAGAGGCCCATGGCACACTCCCGCCAAAGTCCCAGGGACGGAAGGAAGATAGCTGATACAGGGAGGCCCAGGCCTGTTCCCAACTTGCCAGGGGCCGCCTCAGGGCCTCTGCCAGCCCATGAGCAAACATCCTGCCTGCTGAGTGTAGGACTAGGCCCCGGGTCAGGAGCTGGGCAGATCCATTTTGCAGCCAAGGACACAGAGGCACAGAGAGGCCACACCGTGCCACTGGGTAGAACCCTGGCTGGTCGGGTTCCAGAGCTGGAGTCCCCAAGGGAGGCCAGGGCACGAGGACTGTCCCGCCTGGGGAGGGAGCTGGGTCCCTACCTGGCTCTGGTTCAAAAGTCGGGTGACTTCAGGCAAGTCACTTCCATTTTGCTGTTTGTAGCAGGGGGGACCTGAACTGGCCCTTCCTTGAAGTCCTTTACAGCTTTATCATTTCCAGAACATTCCTCTCTTGGGAGAGTACAGGGGCACAGGTCCAGATGGGCTCTGAGTCAGCCAGAGGAGGCTTCACTGTGTCAGGCGCCATGGAGGGGTGGCAACTGGGGGACCTCAGTGTAACTGTCTGTCTCCGTGGGGTCAGACACTCCCCCTGACAGTGGGTGTAATGTCCTCATCAGGCCAGAAAGGACTAGGTCAGCAGAGGTGAGGGGCACACTGAGCTGAGCCAGGCCTTCTTCCTCCAGAGCCCACCCCACCTACTGCCTCCCCAGGGAGGCCGTCCACCGGCAGCAGCCGGGAGCAGAGCGGTCTGGAGAGACCTGGAGGCCGGCCTCCCTCCATGCGGCCCTGCTTCACCACCCCTCAATGCATGGGGTGCGGCCCGGGCCACAGGCCCTGCTGTGTGGGTCGGAGAGGCCACCGCCACGGGGATGAGACACAGGAAGAACCTCTCTCCTTGCTGGGGAGCGCCTGCACCACTGTCCTGTGCTCTGCAAGAGATGGCCGTGACTGGCAGAAGGCCACCAGGATAGGCTGCCGTCACCGGCTCTGGCTGTCAGCACCCCGGTCCATGCCTCAGCTGGGGATGACTTAGCGTTCCCATGTGCGGACCCCATGCCGGGCGCCTCACCAGCACAAATGTCCTCCCTGCTCCCAAAACCTCTGCAGCCCCTCCCCACCACCCTGCGTTATAGACGAGGAAGTGGCTTGCACTGGGTCTCATTCCTGGCCGCTTTGTCAGTGTACGATTGAACGGGACAGCCAGGGCTGCCTGGGTGCAAGCCGCGGTACACACAGTCGGCACAATTTTCCCAGCTCAGCCCTGCTCCCTCCTGCCCCCAGGCCTCGGTCTCCCCATCTGTGAGGGGATGATGCCATCCCATTGATGACTCCAGAGCTGTCCAGGGGCTCAGGCAGGACCCTGGGACAAGAGATCTTGGAAGCTGTAAAGGGGCGTGGACCTGCCCCCCGGCCACCCCCTCAGCACTGCCCACCTTCTGCTGGTGGCCTTCCTCCCTCACTGCTGCCTCTTCCAGGAAGCCACCTGGATTTCAGGGAAGGCCCCTTTCTAAGTAGCCCTCACTGTTTACCCCACCCCACCTCTCCTGAGTGGCGGGCCCTGCCCTTAGGTCCCAGTGGACACTTACCTGATGTCATAGCCATGCATGTCCTTCTCCGGGCGCCCATGGATGATCCAGTGGGCCAGCTCCTGTCCACAGCCACCACCCAGCATCATTCCTGGCAGGAAGAGAAGTGCAGGGCTGCGGTCTGCCCCCCAGGGTCCCCCACCCATGTCCAATCCCATGCCCCCATCTCCACGGACAGCACAGACACTCCAAGCCCCGCTCTCCCCAAACCTGGGGTGCTGCACGCCTCTCGACTGGACTGCTGCCGGACTGGACCCTGGCAAAGGTGCACTCTCTGGGGAGCAGGAGCGGCTGGACTCCCCAGCCTCTCTTGTCCCCACCACTGTCGGCGGCCACAGGGCTCCTGTGCCCACCTCCCCCAGAGCTCTGGGAATGGCAGGACCACCCTCTTGGGGGCCAGGAGGACTGCTGCCCAGACTCACCTGCGCTGTTGAAGCCGCAGCCCAGGAAGAACCCTCGCAGCTCAGGTGCCTCCCCCATGAGGGGCTTGTGGTCGGGCGTGAAGGATTCTGAAAGGGAGAGAGAGGCCCAGAGTCCCTTGCAGTGCACGCACTCTTGGGGTGGGGTCTTCCCAGAGAGGAGTGATCAGGCAGGGGTCTGAAGGTGCCCCTCCACCCAAACCCTCTCCCTCCTCTAGGCCCTGTTCAGTGGCACTTCCTCATGGGGGCCTCCCCGCTGGCTCCTGCCCTTGTTCTCCGAGCCCCTCCATGTGTGCTGCCGGAAGCAGCTGACGGCCACCTGGCTGGGTTCTGCCTGGTGGGGTCCCGGTCTGTCTTGTGACCTTTGTCCTGCCGACAAGGAGCCCTTCTCTGACCCTGGAGACCACGCCGCGGCTCCCCCACTGCACCATCGTCCTGCTGTGTCCCTGCCAGAGACTGGTCACTCCTGCCCACTGGACCTTGAGAGGGCAGGGACCAGTTTTCTCACTGCACATGCCCCGGCCTAGCACAGGGTCAGAGCCCAGCAAGTGCAGGTGCTTGATAAATGTCTGTTGAGCCAACAAAGGATCCAAAGTTCTGCGGGGGAGGAGACCAATGTCCTGCTCTGGCGGTCACCGCTGAGCCTCAGACAGAGGCCAGGACACGGTGGGACAGGAACCCTGGCTCTCTGTGGCCACAGTCCTGGATTCAAACCCTGCTTCACTCCTTCCTAGCTGTGTGGCGTTGGACGAGTCACTTTGTCTCTCTGAGCAAGGCTTAGTGTCCTCGTCTATAAAACTGGGATAGCAGAAGCTCCTTCAGAGGGCTGTGTGCTCGCCAGCCTACAGACATTCATATCCTGGGCCTGGGCCTGGCCCTGGGAGGCAGTGCTGAGCAGCACATGTCCCAGCCCTCGAGGAGCTGACGGAGGGAGGGAGCGAATACTTACATAAGCAAAAAACAGACGTTCTGGTAAAGAAAATACGAGGAGCTGAGGGCCACGCGTCACGGACGTGCCGGCTGCTGCTGTTGGCGCCCTAGCACCACCCCGTGTTAGATTCTAGATGAGGAAGCAGCCGGCCCTGGCCTGAGGGACCCCAGGGCACCAAGTCTGGGGGGCCATCCTCTGCATGCAGACCAGAAGCAAGCGCTCCCTGGAGGGCGATCAGGGCCCCCACGCTAGGAGCTGAGGGGGCAGAGAGCCACGGGGAGCCTGGGCTGAGAGCCTGGCCAGGAGAGGCAGAGCTCCTTGAAGGGGCAGAAGGTGGCAGAGCCACTGCAGGGGAGGGTGGAGGAGGCAGGCGAGAGGGGCAGGGCCCTAGGTGGAGGGCCTGGGTTATCAGGGCAGAGGGCAGAGGCCGGAGCAGCCATCTGGGTGAGAGACAAGGAAGATTCCAGAGAAGATGATGATGAGGCAGAAAGAGTGAGCTGAGGCTGGGTGCAGTGGCTCATGCCCGTAATCCCAGTACTTTGGGAGGCCAAGGCAGGTGGATGTCTGGAGCCCAGTTCAGGACCAGCCTGAGCAACATAGTGAGACAGGATCTCTACAAAAAAATCAAAAAATCATCCAGATGTGGTGGAGTGAGCCTGTAATTCCAGCTACTCGGGAGGTAGAGAAGGGAGGATGGATGGCTTGAGCCCAGGATGTCGAGGCTGCAGGGAGCCACAATCCAGCCTGGGTAACACAGCAAGACCTTTTAAAAATGGGGGTGGGGGAGGTAACCTGGGCTGGGTTTGGGGATGGCCCAGGGAGCACTTTGGGAGGGCTGGAACTATTTCCAGGCCCAGGGCGGGCAGGAAAGAAGCTCTGAACAACCTCACAGGGCATCTGCGGGGAGCGCTAACAAGAGCTAGCAAAGGGGCAGCTGTAGGGAACAAGGGTCTCTTGGATGTTTCACAAATGACTCAGGCGGGTTGAGCAACCCGAGGACGCATGGGACCTCCAGGCAGCATGGCCAGGGGCCAGGCCTGCGGCTCCCACCCTGACCTTGGTGAGCTCCACCATCCTGGAATGAGAGCTCTGCCTGCCCTCTGGGGCGCTCCCTAAGTCACGGGGGCCTGGGACTTCCCTGCTCTTTTCTGGAGGCCAAAGGCCATTGGCCATGCCTGGCAAGGAGAAATGCTGATTCCCCACCAGTCTCCCATCCAGCCGACAGACCAGATCCAAGATGTTCTCGCCTGCACATCTTCCCCAGAATAGGGCCTCGTGGGGAGTACCGGCTCCCCAGGCTAATTAAAACGAGACAGAGGAAGAGAAAGAGAGAGATAGACAGAGAGACGCCTGGGGTTATCTGTGCTCCTGGGCTTCTTCCGGGCCTGTGTTTCTCGATGCCAGACCCACGCAAGCTGGGGGGGTTGCAGGGGTGGGGGCAGTGAGTCACGGTCGTGTGCTCCCACCCTGCACGCTGCCCCGGCCCCTGGGGGCTCCATCTGCTTCTCCCTGGGGCTGCACTTCGCGTGGAGCCTAATCCACGAAAGTAGCCCCTGCCGGCGGCTGAGCCGATGCTGAGCGTGCCAGGACAGAGGGGGCTGGACGCTCCGGGGGGCCACAGCCCTTCTGTGTTGGGACTCTTCCCTGTCTTTAAGGTCGTCGTCTGCTCCCTGCATGGCCCGTGGAAGTCCCTGGGCCCCCCGCTTCGTGCCACCCCACTCTACTCAAATGCTCTCTACAGCTGCTGGCCCTGACCCACGCCCTGCACCGCCCTGTGGCTTCTCGTCCCTAGGCCACCCTGCCAAGTCGGTGCTCCGTCACCATCTCACAGATGCACCTACTCCGGAGGGCACCCACTCCAGTGCCCTTCACTCAAGGCACAGAGGGACTCACCAGGCTTCTGACACTAAGTTTCCCTGGGGGCAACACTGTGTTTCTCTGAACCTCTCTCCCGGCCCTGAAGTGGGGCCAGAGCTCCCCCTACCAGGAAGCAGTGGGGAACACTCGTGTGATTCTGCTGGAACCCCGATGTGGGCGAATCTCTGTGCCCACCTGGTGCTCCCCTGCCCAGATCAAGTATCCGCGGCAGGCCCAGCGCCATCTCGCCCTCCAGGGCCGGGCTGGGCTGCCCCCCGCTCCTGGCCGCCTGTCTGTGTCCTCAGGCTGTGGCCGCCCAGCCACTCCATGCCTCCTGTGAGAGCACCCACCCACGGGCTGTGGTCAGTGACTTGCATTGGGTCTCCCCTGCCAGAAGGAGGGCGCTGGCCTGAGTGGGCCTGCCTCGGGCACAAACAAGGTGCCACTTAATGTAGAATGAATGCCCTCATGAAGGAACACCGGTGCTCTGGGGTCACTGGTAGCTCCCGGGCTGCCCCACACTCAGCTTGGGGACATCTGGCTCAAAGTCCTGTGGCTATAAATACCAGGGTGCCAAGGCCAGCTCCAGCCCCTGCTGCCTCCCAGAGAGGGCACCTTTGCCAGGGCCCAGGCCAGCAGCCTCAGCCCCACACCCGCCCCCTGGGGCAGAGCCTTCCGGGCTCCCCAGGCCAGCAGGGTGGGGCAGGGCTGCGCTGCGCTTCGGATGACCCACGTGGGGCATCTGGGAGCTGAGCCCACCTTTTTGCTCCCGCCTCCTCCAGCTCAGTTCTCCTGGGGCCAGCGAGGAGGGCCAGAGTTAGGGGAATCTTGGCACAAGAGCCTTCCCCCGCTGAGCTGGCCTCCGGGTGCAAGCCGCCAAGAACAGTGGGGAGGCCAGCAGCATGGGGTCCTGGCCAGGGCAGTGCTCTCTGGGAGCGGTGGGGGCTGGGGCTGGAGGCAGAACTGGGACTCACAGCTGTATAAGCCTTGCATCAGGGAAGGTCTCAGCCCTTCCATTCCTCACTCAGCCTCACAGGGTGCTGGGATGCGGCCCGCTATTCCCATTTTACAGATGAAAACACAGAATTCCAGGGAAAAGTCGAGTCTAGGGATGAAGAAGCCCAGGTGGGGAAGCCAGGACGAGTCACACTTGAGGCAGGAGGAGGCCCTGGCCTCGTGCTTGGGGCAGATGGTGGCCCTCGCGAAGCCCAGGCCTCTCGCCCGTATTGAGGAATAAAGGCCACACTTAGCACCCAGGGCTGCTGGAGTCATGCAGCCAGAGGGCCTGGGGACAGCCCTGGGTCCCCTGTGGGACACAGGCTGGCCTCAAGGGGCATCACTACCAATAGTCGTCAGACGAAAAGACCCACGGACGCCCACCCCAGCTCCGAGGCTCTCACTCACCAGGGCCACAGACCGTGGACTTGATTCCTGTCTTCTCCAGCACAGGGACCCGGTTGATGGCACCTTCAATGTGCTGGGTGAACACCTCCCAGTCCAGGTCAAACAGGCCGAAGGCAAACTTGTCTGACACCTGCCAAGGCAGCGCAGGGGGAGTCTCCTTTATCCCCAAGAAGGCCATGCGTCCCCATGCAAAACCTGCCCTGTGATGGCTGCCAGGCCAGCCTCTGCTGAATCAGATGCGTTAGAGGGCTGGTGGTCACCCACACGTCCCGGCAGTTTGTCTCCCCTACCCACCAACCCATCAGCAAGGCCTGTCTGCTCCTCCTCCCCACCCCGGCCCAGGCCTCCACCCACTCAGCCCTTGATGGTTGCTGTGGCCTCTGGCTGGTCACCCTATTCCCCACCCTCCCTCAGTCCACTCCCGTAGATCCCACCATGCCCCTTCCCTACTCACAAGCCTCTTCTGGCCCCCTGCGGCTCATGATGGCCCCAAAGTCCTGCGGGTACCAGCCTGCCTACCTCTACCACTGGGCCCGCCACCCTGACTTCCCGCGGCTCTTTGGGAAGAGCAAGCTTGTTTGAGCTCGAGGCCTTCACCCCTCAGTGGCGCAGTTCTTTGCCCAGACCTGGTACGCTGGTTTGTGGTCTCGGTACAGGGCTCTGCTTGGATGTCCCCTCCCTAAAAAACCCTGCCCTGACCACCCATCTAGAGGATATCCTTCTGGTCTAGTCTCTCTTGGCTGATCCTTAACCTGCTAATTTTATTCAGTGCATGATCGCCTTCCAGAATTTCATTCCTTATTTGTTTGTTTGTTTGTTTGTAACAGAGTCTCGCTCTGTCGCCCAGGCTGCAGTGTAGTGGTGCGATTTCGGCTCACTGCAACCTCCATCACCTGGGTTCAAGTGACTCTTGAACTCAGGCCTCCCAAGTAGCTGGGATTACAGGTGCCCGCCACTACTCCTGGCTAATTTTTGTATTTTTAGTAGAGACGGGATTCCACCATATTGGCCAGGCTGGCCTCAGACTCCTGACCTCAGGTGATCCACCTGCCTCAGCCTCCCGTAGTGCTGGGATTACAGGTGTGAGTCATCTTGCCCAGCCGTTTGTTTGTTTATTGTATGTCTCCCCACCAAAATACAGGCATCCAAAGTCAGGGACTTCCATCTTCGTTTCCCTCTTTCTCCAGAAATTAAAGCAGATTTTAGCCCAAAGTAGCCACTCAGTAATTCCATGTGTGGACTAAATGCATACACACATAGAACGGGGCTGCAGGGCTGCCCTAACCCCAGAAGCTGCCCAGGGAACAGCCCAGGCCAGGGGAGATGTTGTTGCAGCAGCTGGCTGGGAGGGCAGTGTCATTTGCTGAAGGACATGGGACTTGTGTGCTCTCATGCCCTTCTGAGGTCATCACTGCACACTGTGCAGCCCTTCACTGTTGATGTTTTGAGGCAAAGCCCTCCAGCTGCCCCAGTTCTGGATTTGACTGCCTGCCAGGACCCTCAGGGTAAGAGCAAGATGGCTTTGAGCTTGGTGGGGCCGGGGACCTGCCACTTCTCGGGTGTTCCTCTGAGGAGCTTCAGGAGGCTGGTCTTCCTGAAAGAAGCCCTCTCAATGCGGAGATGCAGCCCTGACTCCCTCCCATTAACCCAGGGCCCTGGCATCTTACCTCCTCCCAAAAGATGGGGTTGGCCTCATAGCCACCCACAGACAAGGCATCCCCTTGGAGGCGGAGGTAGACGGAGGCATCGTGATCACGGACGTTGGGCATGTTCTGGAAGGCAGAGAGAGAGGCTTTGGCATCAGCCAGAACTGGGTGGGGACTTGGTTCCCCATGCCCCATGGTGGGCCAGCACCTCCACCCAGGGTCACCAGCCCAAGATAGTCCTCCTCGTTGTAGGACCCTGAGGACAGGGTGGACACGGGGTCTTGAGTTACACACAGTGAACGGGTCACTGCCATTCAAGCCTGTCCTTCTCCAAATCCCACAAAATAACAGCAAAAGGGGAAGAAGGAAGAAGGAATGGATGGAGGAAGAGAGCGAGGGAGGGAGGGAAGCAAAACGTATAACCCACAAAGATGAGAGAATAGGCAGAGGCAACAGCAGAGGATGGATGGGAGATTGCAACCAACCCTGGAGGATGCAGAGTAGATGGAGGAGTGGTGAGCCTTAGCTGGGGCTGGAGGAGAGGGAGACTGAGCAAGACAAGCCAGTGTGCCCCTCCTGCCTCCTCTTGAATCTTCAGAGCTACCCCAGGTTCTTCTGCAGGGGGTAATGTGCTTGCTCATGTACGGAAGGATCTTCCCCTGGAGATGTGGGTCCTGAGAGGCTCCAGACGTGGGGAGAGTGGACTGCCATCCCCCCACCCCCCATAGCAGATTAGAGACTCTTCTGTGAGACACTGAGAGGCCCAGTGAAGACTTGAGATGCTGACACCAGGGTCCCCCTAAAAGAGAAGGGCTTGCCGCCCAACCTTCCTGAGAGGCTCTCCAGTCCTCCCCTCCAAGCCTCCAATCAGACTGCTGCTCACTCTCTCATAAAAATAAAACCACAGGGTCAGACACGGTGGTTCACACTTGTAATCCCAGCACTTTGGGAGACTGAGACAGGCAGATCACGAGGTCAGGAGATCGAGACCATCCTGGCTAACACGGTGAAACCTCGTCTCTATGAAAAGTACAAAAAATTAGCCGGGCGAGGTGGCGGGCACCTGTAGCCCCAGCTATTCGGGAAGCTGAGGCAGGAGAATGATGTGAACCCGGGAGGTGGAGCTTGCAGTGAGCTGAGATCACGCCACTGCACTCTAGTCTGGGAGACAGAGCGAGACTCTATCTCAAAATAAATAAATAAATTAATTAATTAATTAAATTACATTAAATTAAATAAAACCACAGGCCGGGCGCAGTGGCTCACGCCTGTAATCCCAGCACTTTGGGAGGCCAAGACAGGCGGATCACCTGAGGTCAGGAGTTCAAAACCAGACTGGCCAACATGGTGAAACCCCGTCTCTACTAAAAATACAAAAAATTAGCCAGGTTTGGTGGCACATGGCTGTAATCCCACCTACTCAGGAAGCTAAGACATAAGAATCTCTTGAACCTGGGAGGCGAGGGTTGCAGTGAGCCAAGATTGCGCCATTGCACTCCAGCCTGGGCAACAAGAGTGAAACTCTGTCTCATAAATAAATAAATAACCACAAACCACAACAAGAACATCAGGAATACAAGAAGATGGTGTATTAGTGTGTTCTCACACTGCTAATAAAGACATACCCAAGACTGGGTAATTTATACAGGAAAGAGGTTTAATGGACTCACAGTTCCACATGACTGGGGAGGCCTCACAATCACGGTGGAAGGCAAATGAGGAGCAAAGTCACGTCTTACATGGCAGCAGGAAAGAGAGACAGCATGTGCAGGGGAACTCTCTTTATGAAACCATCAGATCTCCTGAGACTTATTCACTACCACGAGAACAGTATGGGGGAAACCACCCTATGATTCAATTTTCTCCACCTGGACCCACCCTTGACACATGGGGATTATTATGATTCAAGGTGAGATTTGGGTAGGGAGACAGCCAAACCATATCAGAGTGAAAGACAGTGCTATGAAAAAGGAATCTAAGATGAAGAAAGAGGTCTTTAAATGAGATATGATAGTCAAAATTTACAATTCAACAGAAGAGCCAGATAAGGCTGGGACCATCATCCAGCAATTAGGCTAAAAGAAAAAGACTACAAAACAGGCCGGGCGCAGTGGCTCAAGCCTGTAATCCCAGCACTTTGGGAGGCCGAGATGGGCGGATCACGAGGTCAGGAGATCGAGACCATCCTGGCTAACACGGTGAAACCCCGTCTCTACTAAAAAATACAAAAACTAGCCGGGCGAGGTGGCGGGCGCCTGTAGTCCCAGCTACTCTGGAGGCTGAGGCAGGAGAATGGCGTGAACCCGGGAGGCGGAGCTTGCAGTGAGCTGAGATCCGGCCACTGCACTCCAGCCCGGGCGACAGAGCGAGACTCCGTCTCAAAAAAAAAAAAAAAAGAAAAGAAAAGAAAAAGACTACAAAACAGAAATCAGGAGTGGAAAAAAATAAGAAAATCAGAAGGTCCATCTTGAAGGTCCAATCTCCATTTTACAGGGGTTCCAGAAAGAAAAGACAGAGAAAAATGCAGTCGAGGAAAATGTCAAAGCAACAATCCAAGAAGAGTCCTCAGATTGAAAATCACGCATTCATATGGAAGGGCCCAAGAGTGCCCACCAAGCCCTGGGTCTGGACAGAGGCCTGCATCAAGGCCACGCCATGGGAAACTGGGTGGCCAGGACACAACACTGGGTGGCCAGGAGGGCCATCAACAGGGGACTGCATTGCTGGAGGCTGGAAGACATGGAGCAGATTCTTCAAACGTCTGATGGATGTTTTTCAACACAGAATTCTAGATCCTGTCAAGCCATCAATCAAGTGTAAGAAAAGAATAAAGGCTTTTTCAGACATTTATGAACACAAAACATGTACTTCTCACATACTCCTTTGCAGTAAATGGCTAGAGAACACACTGTGACGAAAGGAGGAAAATAAACCCAGAAAGAATAAAAGCTATGGCTCCAGGCAGGGAGAAGTAAAGAAGGCCCTGGAGTGACAGCATAGACCACACAGTGGCCAGTCTGAAAGGGAGCGGAAGATCTGAAGGCAGCAGGAAGTCCTCCAGGGGAGGGAAATGGGACTTAGAGGCATTAGGTGGTTTATCTGATGTGTATGCATAGTCAGAAAATAATATCAATAGGTGTTTGACAGATCCCTTGACACAATTGGGGAAAAATAGTGACAGTTACGGACACACATGCAAATACCCTCAACAAAACAATAGCAAACTGAATCCAGCAACATACAAAAGGGATGATACACCATGGCCAGACTGAACATGGTGGCTCATGCCTGTAATTCCAGCACTTTGGGAGGCTGAGGCGGGAGGGTCACTTGAGGTCAGGAGTTCAAGACCAGCCTTGGCAACATGGTGAAACCCCATCTCTACTAAAACTACAACAACCAGCTGGGTGTAGTGGCACATGCCTGTAATCCCAGCTACACAGGAGGGTGAGGCAGGAGAATTTGCTTGAATCCAGGAAGCAAAGGTTGCAGTAAGCCAATATCATACCACTGCACTCCAGCCTGGGCAATAGAGTCTCACTCTGTCTCAAAAACACACGACAAAACAAAACAAAACACCATGGCCAACTGGAATTTATCCTAGGAATGCAAGGTTGGTTTAATGTATGAAAACCAAACAATAAAATACACTATATCAACAGAGTACAGGACAAAAACCACATAATCATTCCAGTAGATGCATAAGAAGCATTTGGCAGAATCCAACATCTTTAATGATTTAAAAAAAAAAAAAAAAAAAAAAACCTCAACAAACACTTAACAAACTTGGAAGAAGGGAACTTCCTCAAAGTGCTGAAGAGTATCCACAAAAACCCACAGGAAATGTCATACTTGAAGGAAAAAGAATGACTGATTTCCCCCCAAGATCAGGAATAAGAGAAGGATATCCATTCTTACTCCTTCTACCCAACATTACATTGGAGGTTTTAGCCAGGGCAGCAATTAGGCAGCAAAAGTAATAAAAGGCACCCAGATTGAAAAAGAAGAAGTAAAAATATTCCTATTTGCAGATAACAAGGTCTTGTATATATAAAATCCTAAGGAACCCACTAAAAAACTACTAGCTCTCCTCTCTCTCTCTCTCTCTCTCTGTCTCTCTCTTTCTCTTTCTCTCTTTCTTTCTGACAGAGTCTCACTCTATCACCTGGGCTGGAGTGCAGTGGTGCCATCTCAACTCACTGCAACCTCCACCTCCTGGGTTCAGGTGATTCTCCCACCTCACCCTACCGAGTAGCTGGGATTACAGGCACGTGCCACCACGCCTGACTAATTTTAGTATTTTTAATAGAGACAGGGTTTCACCATGTTGGCCAGGCTGGTCTCGAACCCTGACCTCAAGCATCTGCCCACCTCAGCTTCCCAAAGTGCTGGGATTATAGGTGTGAGCCACTGGGCTCAGTCAAAAAACTAATGTATTTCTATACACTAGCATTGAATAATCTGAAAAGGAATATAAGAAATAATTTCACTTACAATATCATCAAAAATAATAAATACGCTTAGGAACAAATTTGACAAAAGTCTTTCTAAAAACTAGAAAATACTTTCAAAAGAAATTAAAGAAGATCTAAATAAATAGAAAGACATTTCATGTTCATGAAATGAAAGACTTATTTTTTTTAAGGTGACAACACACCCCAAATTGATCTATGGCTCCAACACAATGCCTGTCAGAATCTCAGCTAGTTTCTTTGAAGAAATTAAATAGCTGACCCTAAAGTTCATACAGAGATGCAAAGGACCAAGAATGCTCAAAACAATTTTGGAAAGGAAAAACAAAGTTGGAGGATTCACACTTCTTGATTCCAAACTTACTGCAAAGTTACGTAATCAAGACAGTGAGGTACTAAATAAGGATAGACCTACAGATCAATGAATTAGAATTGAGAGTCAAGAAATAAACCTTCTTCTTCAGAGTTAATGATTTTCAATAAGGGTGCTAAGACAATTCCTTGGGGGAAAGCAGACTTCTCAAAAAATGGTGCAGGGCCAACTGGATAGCCACATGCAGAAGAATGCAGTTGGACCCCTACCTCACACCATGCACAAAATTTAACTCAAGATGGATTACAGACATAAGTATAAAAGCTAAAACTATAAAAGCC